AAAAGGAAGCTAATTTAACCAAATATGTGGTTGAATTAACATGTTTTCACTGTAAAATCTACATTGAAACATGTCGGGCACTTCTTCTGACTACAAAGTTGTTAAATCAGCATCATTTTTTTCTGTTATCGCCACAGCAACGAATCGCCCGAAAAATGCTCAAGGATACGAGGCCTTAAAAATTTTGTCTGCAGTGCAATAGAAATTTCTAAAAATATGTCCGACGTGTTTCAAATATACATTTTACAGAGGAGTGATTAAATTAGTATTTTCCTATTGTAAAATCTACGTTGAAACATTTTGGACAATCTTTCAAACTATAAAATAAATTAGCAATATCAGTGATCATCATAGCAACAAATCGTCCGAAAAACCCTCAAAGAGACAAAACCCTAAAAATTGTGTCCGCAGCGCGGAAGGAATTTTTGCAACGCAGTGCAGTGTGCAACTCACCTACATCCCGTTTGAAACGACCCCACGTGTTAACTAGTTTCCCCCTCCGATGCCGCAAAGCCGCTGCGAACGGGATGTTTTTGATGAGATTGTACGATGATGAAAAACTGTGCACTTTGAATCGTTATTACAAAGTTCCGCGGAGGCATAAAGTATTTACATGTGCAACTATATTCCCAGATTTTACTCACGATCGGATGAGCTGCGGGCGCCGCCGAGGAGGTGCGTTTCCCCACTCCTCTTTTCCGCACCTGACGTAAATTTTTATCGAGAGCCTTTCCAGTGCAGGAGTTTCTGAAACTTTCCGAGTGTTACTTTTTTACTGCGAGCTTTTAACGCTGGTATAAAGTGACGAGCCCGCAACTAGAACAACCGTCGAGAGAAAGTTAGAATTTGACACTTTGCCGTTACGTGTATACTTCGCTTTTAAAAACGTTAGGTTCTTAAGGCGTACAATTCATTTTTACCGAGATTGTACAAGAAGATTATCGAAACTTTTTGTATGTTAATTTATCTGCTTTCGTTCATTGAAATTTGTGGGGTTTCTGGAAATGAAACGAAACTAGGAACTTTTGGAAATGAAACTTAACTTGTGAACTTAAAAGTGTCTCATTGGACTGCATTTTGCAATTTGGAACTACAGTATTTTGCTCCGTTTAGAAACGACGTATGCACCATTAGTTTCTCTTATGCTTATGAGTGGTTTACGGATGGGCTGAAAATTTTAGTTCCAAATTGCAAAATGTAATCCGATTTAATTTCTTATCTATCGTGTACATATATCTTCTGAGTGGTGGCTATGCAGACAGTTTGAAGAAGATTTCGACGAAGACGCTTTGTTTGAAGGTCTATTTTAATTGTATGCAATTGAAATATGATTCAAAGATTTGACGCTAGAAAATTGTGAGCGTTCTTAATCATGGAAATAGTGGATTGAAACTAGTCTCTATCGTGTAGATGTAATTTGATTTATGAATCAGTGCGTTCCTTTCAGTTTGACATTGTCAATGTTTAGTTATAGGTATTTTACCTTTTGATGCTCAATTTCAATTTAAGGCGTGACTCATTTCGATTGAGCATTCACTTATGTCAGACGAAAAATTTAAAAGAGATTTCTCTTATTCCTCTCTTCTGGATAATCGAGAGGAAATCTCGAGCGAAGTTGAGCGCTTTGAACTCAATACCTTTCATGGTTCGTAACGATCATATTTCCTGTAAGTGGGTCAAAGATTGTATTAAATATAATTTCTCATGTGAATTTCTCAGTATCTCCCTCATAAAATGTAAAGAAATAAGGAGACAGTTGAGCTCAATTTCATTACCGGAACTTAGAGCTCTTCAAGTAGGTAACATTTAAATAAATTTCCACGAGGAAAAGTTTCGCATTGCAAAAGGAGAAAATATCTGCGATGTACCCCCCAGCAACTTCCTTCCTCTTATTGATGTGAAGATATTAGTTTTGAAGTTGAAACAAAACTCGGAGTAGTTAAATTGAAATTGTTTATTCTGCGCCACTGAACTGCAAATGTAATAAATAAATCTGAAAACAAAAAGGATTATTTGGATGAGGTGGAGAGGAACCTTTCTCTTATTACCTCTAGTCTTCAATAGGAGGCCCTAATCACACCTCCTTCAGAAGAATTATTAGACATTTATCATGAAATGGCAATATGACACAAAACTGCGGACAACGCAATGCAAAAAGTGCGAACAGAGAGGTTTGAAGGAGTGAATTAAGAACACTGAAGGTTTCAAATAGCGTTAAATTCCTCGAATACTTGTACATGAAAACATGATCCTTCCAGCAGTAACATTATTGGCTTTTCACAGATTGTGCAAGATTTATGGTTAGTGAATAGATATTCGGAATTCGTGAATTACAGATTTCATATTCATGTTGCCGATCAACTTAATTTGGGAACTTCATAAATCTAGATATGAACATATAATTAAATTAGGTAACAAGAGATCTTATAGACCGGAAATTAGTATACAGCATTGCTTTCTAAATTAGAGTTACGTTATACTTTCCCGCCATTCCCTGGTAAAAATTGGCAGTAGGATCTTTGTTCCAAAATACTGTGGCGGCCAATCACCGCCTCTCCAGCGCGGCGCATCCCGCGCTCGCCCGTGATTGGCCGACACGATCGCTCCCCGAGGGTATAAGACCAGCGCCCCCGGCCACCTACGGCACTCGTGCTCAGTCCTCAAGTCAGTCAAGTTCAGCCACGCTGCTCCAGTCTTCGCTCGCTCCCCAACATGGCCAAAGACCATGAGAGGTGCTCTAGTGTTGGTGGCTCTAAGAAGAGCCGTTGAAAAGGGCAAGCCGGCCGGCTGCGAGATGTCCGCTGTGATGAGTGATGTGGCCCGTGTGGTTGACGGGAGCGGAGTGTCTTGAAGCGGTGAGGTCACGACATATATAGTCATGGTTGAGACTGCGGCGGCCAATCAGGGGCGAGCATGGGCTGCGTCGCCAGAGGTGAGCGGTGATTGGCCGCCACAGTACTTCCCTGCGGTTGAGACGGAGTCTCTGTGGGTGGTTGGAGAAGTGAGTGGTGAAATTGGATGTTGGAGTGGAAACAGGTTTGGAAAATGTGTGTAAAGTGGATGAAAAGTTGAGGATTGAGTGAGTGATGATGGGAAGTTTGAGGATTTGATTGAGTGATGATGGAGAGAGCTGAGGGTTGGTTGGTTGAGTGAGTTGAGGATTGATTGAGTGGTGAGAAGCAGGAGGTGTGTGTCAGCGTGCCGGGGAGCGCCATTCGACCCGGGTGACACACGGTTGAAGAAATATGACCATCGTCTTTCCGGGCAAGGAGGTTGATGCTCGGGACAACAAGTTGGGAACGTGCTGTGTTCTGCGGCAACTTGCTGGAGCGTGTTGATTTGCGCGGCGGAGAGAGATGGATACGATGCGGTGATGATGCTGGAAGCTTTCAATGTTCATGCTAAGATGATCAAATATGACTGTTCCAGTGAGATGTTTGACTTTGAGTGCTTGAGTTCAAATGACTTGAGAGAAGGTTGAGCGTGTTCTTGAAGTGAAGTTGCTTGCTTGATTTGACTGATTCAGAAGGGTGTACATATTCACGGCGGGAGTCACCAACATGGCCAATGACCAGATGTGGTGCTCTAGTGGTGCTGGCTCTAAGAAGAGCCGTTGAAAAGGGCAAGCCGGCCGGCTGCGAGATGTCCGCTGGGATGAGTGTTGTGGCCCGTGTGACTGACGGGAGCGGAGTGTCCTGAGGTGGTGAGGTCACGACATATATAGTCATGGTTGAGACTGCGGCGGCCAATCAGGGGCGAGCATGGGCTGCGTCGCCAGAGGTGAGCGGTGATTGGCCGCCACAATACCATAGACCTACAGCCGGCTGTAAGATTTCCAATAGCCTCTATAGCCGGCAACACACAATTTCTTATAGCCCTTTATAGCCGATGGCGATTAAGCAACAGCCTGGCGATAAAGTGTATGCTAAACGTTGCTAATTACGGATGCTAGGACTTAGTGAGTTTTTGGACTACCGCTCTCTTTTTGGGCCGTAGTATCTTGATTTAATTTGCGAGGAAAGCTCCGTTCTTTTGAAGAATGCCTGACATTCCTAATATGTTGGAGCGCCTTCAATTTCGTATGATACTGTGCAATACCTCTGGTGTGAAATAGTTGCTTCAAGCGCCGCGGTACGCTGCGGCGCGGCGCTGCGGGCGGGCAGCCAGCGCTGAACGCGCAGTGGCGCCTGCAAACCTAAGAGGGATACTTCACGCATTGCGCAATGCGTGAAGTATCCCTGTTAGGTTTGTAGGCGCCGGTGAGCCGCCGCTCCGCTTTGTGTTAGGCTCTAATATTTAATCTCGCGGAGTCAGCGTTTTTCAACTCATGACTTTGAAATGTTTGCACACTCTGTATGGATTATTCTCATTTAAATTGATGAAAAAAATATGTAGTAAAGGAAAATATAATGTGCGTTTTGTAAATATTAAGGTGATTCCGTACAAACATAAGTATTTACAAAGCACAAGAATTTCTACTCTATTTCTTATGGCCTTTTATAGCCGATGGCGGAAAAGCAACAGCCAGGCGATAAAGTGTAAAGCCCGGCGATAGGAACTATAGCCCGGCGGTATAATTTTTTATCGCTTCGTGTAGCCCGGCCGTATGATTTTTTCCACTTTCTACAGCCAGCTATATGATTTTCTATCGCCCTTTTCAGTCGGCTATAAGAACTCCTATGGTATTTTGAAACGCAGCTCCTATCGCCAATTTTTACCAGGGTTAGGCACGAGAAGCTCATTTCCAATGTAATCATTTTCTTGTAGGTAAATTGAAAATAATGTGTTTAATTTTTCTATGACTCAAAAATGTCTCACGGGCCAGGTAGTCGCACTGCAATACCTGTCGAAAGCCTTTATGATGGGGTCATAGTGCGATAGTCATCGTGATAATTTGACACTTGCATATTTTTTTGACACATTAAACGTTGTCACTGTCAATGTATGAAGTAATCAAGAATAATTTCTAATTCGATGACTTTGCTTTTCTGTCCTAACAGATATTGCCTTGGGTCGTCTTCCTTGTGTCAGCAGACTCGGAAATCAGTGACGAGACAGGCAACTACGACGAAGTCAGTAAATCTGATAACCTGCGACTTGACCTAGACGAGTTTCTGAAGACTTATCCAGTCGGCTCCGGAGAAGTTGTCACAGAGGATGGGCACATCAATCATTACGACAGTGGATTCGATCATAAAGGACCAGGCTCCAGTCATCCAGGTCACCTAGGGCATCCAGGACATCCGGGGCACCCAGGACCTCCAGGGCATCCAGGTCATCCAGGTCATTTAGGTCATCCAAGTCATCCAGGACATCCCAGTCATCCAGGACACCCGAGTCATCCGGGACACCTAAGTCATCCAGGACATCCGGGTCACCCAGCTCACCATCCATCATCTGGCGGTGGCTTCGTCCCCAGCAACGGTGGATTTGTACCTAATCACGGCTTGTCTTTCGATGCTGACCTCGAGCGACTCAAAGCAGAGAGACAACTAGAGCAAACTCTATTACATGGAGGTGGGGGTCATGGTTTCATACCTAGTAACCCCCATCCACCATCCTACACCTCCGGCTACAGACCGGAACATGTAGGACCTAAAAAAGTCCCGTACAGAAATAACTACGAAGGAGGCGGCCCAGGTCCAGGAGCAGGTCCGGGACCAGGGCAAGGCTCTTATCCAGGCAACGGAGGACAGGGCTTCGTTCCCTCCGGTGGCCAAAGCTTCAGCCCTGGTAGACCAGGTAAAAATCTAGGACCGAATTACAAGAATGTAGCAAGTCCTGGTGGACCGTTGCCTCCACCCAGTGGTAGCGGTTTTCGTCCGAATTCTCCTAGTGGATTCAGTAGCCCGTCCAGTGGAATCGGCTTCAATGGGCACGGGGGTCATGTAGCTGACAACGGTTTCAGAGGCCCAAGTTCCAATGGCGGCGGTAGAAACCCCATCAGCGGGCCAGGATTTCCATCTGGGGTTGATGATCCCAGTCTGAATTCATTTGCCAGCGATTTCGACGATTACAGAGATAGCAACTCGGTCGACGGGCCCGGTCCGAGTGGGTTCGGTAGCCCTGGCGGCACGGATTTCGACGATACCTGGCGCGGCACTCCCACGCCGACACCCTTAGTGCCCACGCACAACCTAGTGCCCACTCATGTCCAGCCCCCGACACATAATTTAAAGCCGATTATTCACAAGCATGTGTACGTGCACGCTGCCCCTCCGGACGACGACCCCCCGCCGAGGCCACCAGTGGTGTATCATTCCACTCCCCCAAAACAGAACTACCAAATAGTGTTCATCAAGGCGCCAGCGCCTCCACCCCCCGCGGTTCCCGTCATACCACCCCCACCACAACACCAAGACAAGACGCTCATCTACGTGCTGCATTCAAAGCCTGAGGACGCTCCACCCATCAAAATCCCGCCGCTGCCCCCGACCAAACCGAACAAACCCGAGGTCTTCTTCATCCGGTACAAAGGCAACAAAGGTTCCCGCGATGAGCTCAGCTTCCCGAACCTGCCCCCGGGCTTCGAGCTCCCGCCGTCCTTCTACCACCGTCGCTTCGGTCGACAGGACAAAAACCAGGTGCGACTTCCGCCACTCCCGGAGACCAAATACTCCGAGGAGAACCAATCTGAGGAGGCCGATCAGCCCTGGAGCGGCGAGGAATCAAGTCAAAGCAGCGACCAGAAACCTCTCTCCGAGCCGTCCAGCGCCGAGGAGTCGGACACCTCGACCTACCACGAACCTGGATCCAACTACAATGAACCCACCTCCGAGGGAGAATCCACGCGCTCCGAGTCGAAGCGCATGTGGGAGGCCGAGTCAAAGTGGAGTTCTGGACCAGACACGGAGAAAAGCGACTCTAACGAGTCTAAATTAACGTGGGATTCCTCGACGAAAAAATCCGAGACCCCGTCCGTTTCTTCGGTTTGGAGCACTTCCTCGCCGAAACTCAACGAACATCATACTCCTTGGACGGCCTCCACGACGAATTACGATGACGTCCAAAGCTCGCGGAGTTCCTCCCTGGGGTCTGATAGTGACAGCTTTTGGAGCACTTCATCTCCATCACTGAGTGCTCATCAAAGTTCTTGGGATGCCCCTTCGAAAAGTTCGGATGATAGACAAAGCTCCCGGACTAATTCTTTGCCGAGGCAAAGCGATACCGTAACTATTTGGAGCACCTCTTCTCCCGAGAATGAAGATGATCATAATTCATGGAAAGCTTCCTCTGCTGATCATGAGGAAAAGCAAAGCTCTCGCAGTACTTCTTCTCCTAGAAAAGGCGAGAGCCTCAACCTTTGGAGCACATCATCTCCAAGAAAAAGCGATAGTCTGAACCTTTGGAGCACCTCGTCTCCGAGACACTTTGATGGTGAGAGTCCGTGGAGCACTTCCTCTCCGAGCCAAAATAGTAAGAAGAGCTCTTGGAGCACGTCTCATCCACGACATGATAGTCAGAGTTCTTGGGGAACCGCCTCCCCAAGATATGGCGATAGTCCGTCGTGGAGTTCAACAACTCAAAACTCAGACTCTCATCCAGCCATTGAAAAGTCCGCGGGTGGCGGGGGCGGGGGTATCCTCACGACGAAATCGTCTTGGAATACTGACACCACAGTCTACCGCGACTCGACGCTATCGGAGTTCCCCGATTCGAACCCCTCGCCATCTAGGTTTAAGAGTCAGTCAGAGTTGCCACCTAGCTCGACTACTTGGCGCGGGCCTGACTCTGTCTCCTCTGAGGATATGGCAAAAATGATGGAAAGAATCCACTCAGAAGATATTCTTAAAGTTGCGCCTAAGGTAGATACGGCCACTATGAGCTCCACCGAGTACTATAATGAAATTAATAATCTTAGGAAAAGTGACGATCTGAGAAGCGCCGAGAACGAGGAGAATTACGTCAAGGTCAGTTTCAAAGGGAACGTTGTTCCAAGGGGAAAGAATGCTCACTAGATACTTATTCTAATTTCAAGGTGCTTCTCCTTAGTGTAAATATATTCGAGGAGGAGAGTTTCATGTGAATCTTCCATCACATTAACATTCAGCAGTATGGTGACGAAAAATACGTCTTTTTGCCACTAAGTATGTCACTTGTCACTTTGATATTTTGAACGTTGGTGTGATATGGATTACAATATTATGAGGGTCCTTTTTTGTAAATTTTTTTTTTCAAAGTGATACATGCGCAAATATTTTGAACAAAAGGATTATTTAAATAAATGCATGAACGGATTACGGATTGACGCACGAGTAGTTTCTAGACAGAGTGTGACTGATTTTGTCAATGTGCGTTGAAATTTAGTGTAGGTACAACTAAAATGAAAATGAAGTAATGCATTCTATATAATGAGAATCCCAGTTGTATAGGTGTACTAAATGTCAACGCACGTTGGAAAAAATAGCCATTTTTGTACTGCAATCATTGTAAAATCTACGCATTGTTTATCCAGTAGTTAATAGACTGAGATACTAAAAATAGCTGTAGTCGCCGTCGCCATGGTGAGGAGACATTTCATTCGCAGAGAGGAATAACATGTAGGTAAAATTGCAATGGAATTTATGGTTGTTCTGGCCAGTTGTAATAATGTTTCCAAGAAATTATGATCGCATGTAATTTTTGACTCCTTCTAAACTTCTCCGCATTTCAATTGCAGAAAATATTATCATTTCGTGCAAGGAAACTTACCTTTAAAAAGGTTCAAGAAAAAGTCAGGTTTGAAAGCCAACCTTGCCAAATTTGTTATGAGTAGAAATGTGGAGACTAGTGTATCGAATAATGAAATTATTGAAGCCGAAATTCACATTTCAGCAGCCATCATTTATCACACGATAGGCTGGTAATTGAATGTTTTAACGATGAAATGCATGTGTATTTAGAACTGTTTTTCATGAGCTATGGCATTGCCATGTTGCCTTTTAAAAATTACTTAATGAGTGTCATGACATTTCATTTATAAATATGTAAAAATACGAATAAATGTTTTTTTACCAAATGTTGTATTAATTTTCCTTTGATCCTTAACTCTTGGGGGTTGAATATTTTGATCCCTGCTTTCAAACAAAGCTTAATTTTAAGCTCACATTACTGCAGGAAGCGATTAAAAAATATGTATTTCAAGCCGCTGACTTGAGAAACATTTTTTTTGTCAGAGAAGGGGGGGAGGGCAAAAAACACCAAAAAATTGACGTCCTTGACTTTCCAAAGGACTTACAGCGGAATTTTCCTTTGATTTATCATTAAAACCACTTTCGAACATTTAGCATCACTGTGACGTCATATGATATGAATTTTCAACGGCAGCAGAAAGCTAGGCCGCCATTTGAATATTCCAAGTTTAACGGAGACGCATACAGTCGCATTTTGGAATAATAAAAGAATTGGAAAAAATTTAAATTCGGCTAATCGTAAATTTTCTCCCGACAAAAGTTCAAAGGCGATAGAAAATGTTCCCATCGAGGAAATCGTCGCTATATATGAGTCTCAAGAAGGAATAAAATTTAGACTTATTTTTCTTGGTTGAAACTTGATACGACTTGGTGTGAGTCCCTGTTATACCTAGTCCATCACATGAATTTTTTGGTAATTTTTTTGTAATGTCTATTATTCATGTCGTGAATTTGGAGGCAGTACTTTTCAACTACCCATCGTAAATTTATTCTATCGCAAGAGATTACACTTTTCAAAAACTTGTTCTTCTTTTGAGACAGAGTCAAAATCTCGTTGAATAGTGCGAATAAACTCGATAGGCTAGCTCATTAGATTTGAATATCAACACTTAAAATTAGTTCTACGAATAGACCTTTTGACCTCAATTGTATTTCACCCAAACTCTCACCTAAACAATTTAGATCTTACGGATCTGATTGAAAGATTTTAATCGATATTCGGACGTATTTGTGCTAAAAGGAACCAGAGATGGCTGGGTAAGAACGAGTGTGCTCGTTAGTCGTTAAAGAATGAATGGGAATTGGACTGCATTTTGCAATTTGGTACTATAAATTCTAGCCCGGTTGAAAAACAATGTATGTGCCATTAGTTTCCCGAAATGTACATAAGTGTTTTTCCATAAGAGCCAGAATTTATAGTTCCAAATTGCAAAATGCAGTCCAATTAAAGAGCGCCAGTGACGTCAACGAGAACAAGGAGATCGAAGGGATCGGAGGCGGGAAACTTGAACTCATGAGCCCCGATCACATTGCTGTTGTCACATGGCCACGGCTCATGAGTTGGTTTATTTTTGCACTTAGTTCCTTTTGATTTAGAGTAAATACTCACTTTTCCGTTTTGCCAAAAGGAATCAGCCCCCTTTTCATAGTGTTTCTTATGCACCTCAAACGAGCACCTCCCATCTTTCCTGCCCGTTTCTAGTTCCTTCCAGCATTAATACGTCCATTTAAATCGTTATAAAATTCTAATTGTACGTTTTTTCATCACATCCAATATTCCTGACTCAGTGAAAGTTACAATGATAAACATCGACCCAGTTTTTTGCTGCAAGTACTTTTAAAATAGTGCGCTGCAATGACAGTATAGCATCGTTATATGGATGCATTTTATTTCACGTGCAATCAATTTAATGCTTATTTTCATATTTCAACAAATACATTCTGAAAACATGATATGCCTATGAAGGAGCTGTCAAAGATGATTCCGACTGCATGTTTTTGGTTTGTGCTATTTATTTTATTTACGATGTGAAGACGTTTTATACGTTCTAAAAGTTCTTTATACAGTAGGGCATTGTCTGATGTCATCCCAGTAACTCAATTTTTCTGATGATGACGAGCAGGAAACTTCTTTACAATCAGTGAAAAATATAGGTAATGCCCAAAATGAAATACAGGGTTGAACTAGAAAGCGAGAGGTACAATACTGAAAATATGCAGTCTTCTGGAATTCAACATATTACTGACACTCAAACCAAAGATTTATTTTCGCCACAAACGTCTGTCTTCGCTCAGATATGCACATGTATACAATTATGCATTTAATTGTTACAAAATTTAGCGAATTACCAAAAACACAAATTTGAATGAGTTTCTGAAGAGATATGCGTTCTCGCAAAAATTATGTAAAATGGAATAATAGTGATTGAAAATATGACGTACAGGTTTGATCTAACACGTAAATTGCGCCAGTAGGCTACAAAACACTCATGTGTATAGTTCAACCCCTTTTTTCAGAAGAGCTAAACACAATAAATTTGAGGTAACCCTTACAAAGGTGCTCGCCTCTTCTCTTGAAGAGTCCAGTTAGTTTTTTCTCTATGTTTTTCGTCTCTTTGAGCTGCAACACTTAAAAAATCGATTTTTCTGTCTGTGAAGCTATTGAGAAGCTCTTGCCTCTTTTTGGCACTGATCCTATTCCAATAAATTTTCTTCAAGCCGAACCTTTGACGTCTTCTCAAAGGCTGCAAGCCATCTTCATGGGAGACGCGGAAGGAACAGAAGGAGGAAATGCTATCTTTAACCCATTTTTTTCTTTCGTCTACGTCAGTTTTTTCCCCTCCATTATTCTCAGTTCAAGCGACTAACAAAAATGTGTTGGAGATCTCTGAATACTGAACGTAGTTTTTGTTTTTTTTCCTTGTTATATTGTTCCACAATGACAAAAAAGGAAACATTATGCACCTCTGTAAAACATCAACGTTAATTCAGTCATCTACATCATTATTTTTTATTCCTAAAATAAATAAAAAAGACTTAAAAACACGGAAACAGTTACTCGAATTTCCTTAGAATGAAGTTTTGGAGATGTTACAGCTTATTCCTTGAGAGTTTTGAGCTTTCAATTCCCTCTGCTACTTCATTTGCTTGCCCTCTTCACTCATTGTGGGTCACATTTTAATAAGCTTCGAAATATTATCCTTTACAGTCACTTACTTCAGGAATTGCAAACTTGAGGAGCAGTAAAAAGGTACACCATATTCTATCTTTGAGGAAATGAGAGTTTCTACAATCCAGTCAGACTGGTTTTTTACAAGGATTACTTGTCCGATCCGCACTTTACGAAAAATGGAAACTTACAGGACCAAAGAAGAATAAAACGTGCAGTAAATGAGATTTGAGGAAATCTTTAATTGAATTAGCTGCAACGGGAAGGAACTGAATCTTCAGAGAGCTTATAAAAAAGATCTGGGATGAAGCACCATTCAAAATAATCTCTGTTAATCTCGCGTAGTTTATTATACAAAATGGAAAGTTTTATAATCAACTTTTGCATTGAAATTGTTTCTGAATATGTAAAATGAGAAAAATAAAGGGATGATCTTATCCCTTTTGCACTGAATAACTATCAATGAAAAGAGTTCAAAGTTCGGTTATTCAGAATGAAAACAGCTCTTTTCGTCGTAACTATAAATGAAACATCTTAAGAGTAATGTGCGATTGCTCTGCAATTGAGAAAGGTTCAAATTGAGTTTTTACATTTGTCTGGATCTTTACCAAAGATTTCACGTTATAATGGTACAATACACACGACAAAAGCACAACCTTGCGGTCCTCAAGTATGCATATTTTTCAAAATTTTCTTTTGAACATCAAATACAGGATGGAAAGATAAATTAATTCTAGAGAAAATATTACGGCATTTTAATCATTTGCTAGTACTAGCACTTCTAACATGTATTGCAACGATAAAAGGTTGTAGATTCAAAAGTGGCAAAACTTATTTGAAGCCTTTGAACTTTGAAGAGCGAAAAAATGTTTACAATCTCTTGGGAAATTGAGATTTTGATGGTTTCTAAAGTACTTGCTCTTAAAGGTAAATTTACCAAAATTAACCTGAGACTCTGACCAGCTCGGTATATACTCTGTGAACAACCATCATTCGACTAATTTCAGCCCCACAATAAGGACTTGAGTGCAGAACGGGCAAATAGGTCTCTAAGCCTCTGAAAATCTCTCACAAAAACTATTCGTCAAATGTATTGACGAAACCGTTTTCCTAGTGGAGTTAACGAAAAATGGATGATCTCACTTCGTGTATGCGCCCCATTGAGCTCACCTGTGTGTCGAAGGGAGGGGGTAGGTTTTTAATGAAGGCGCCCAACGTAAAACCGTTAGCGTGTTCAAGCATAACGATATGTGGGACGGGATGATACTTCGGCACAGTGCGTTTGAAAAATTTCTTGGCTTGCAATGCCAATGAATTAACGCGACATGTCGCAAAAATGAGAATTTGAATATAATCTTTTGCACTACGAAAGTGAAAATACAGAAGGAGGAGAAATCAGATCCACAATGTCCTATACATGATAGATCGGGTAATTCCTCAACGCTTGGAATTTATTCATAGGATGATATTCTATGGTGGACTGATTTACCGGCTGCGCGCAGTGGATCGTGTCAATAGGAGAGGTCGGACAAAGGAAACCATAGAAAGCTTATAACTCCGTTTATACAAAATGTTGAGGTTCTAAAAGTGGTTCCATTGGTTTCCTCGTGAAACTTTCTTCTGGAGGCACCCCTTAAAATTTAAAATGTGACGAATTAACACCAATATTTGCAGTTTTAGTCATGTTTTTGATGACTGACCTCTCTGATTGACTCGAACCAATGTGCTACGTCACTCGTTGAATATTGCCGTTCGGCAATGCTACCTAAACAGACACATACCTCTGTCTTCTTCATTCCAGGAGGGTGAAATACATCAAAAGTGTTTCTTTCTATAGAAACTTTACGTGCACCCGGTGAAACATTAATTGACTTTTGATTTTTTAATAACAACATCGTAAAAAACCAACGTATGTAACTCCACCCAGACTTTAGAATGTTCTATACTGTTTTGGTTGAAACTATTGCAAATCCAAACACGGTAATGCAAATCCCCCGGTAGTAGAGGGACCCCGCAAGCCCTCCCCCCCTTCCGAAACAAAATCCTGGCTACGTGCTTGGGCAGAGGTGTAGCTAAAAAGCCAAGATTGACATTTTTGTCATCTCACGGGAATTAATTCTACTACCATAAGAAAAATAGTGAAATATCTTTTTAAAAAAATCTCTTACGGAATTTCTTATATGAGTCTTATCAGGTCTTCAACATGTGTATCTGATGCACGGCGCACTGTAAGAGAGGGAGTTTTCGGATCACACTGTGCTCACAACTTTTCCACTCGGTCGAAATAACGAGGCACTGCTGGCGGACTGGCGCGCCGCCGGCTCAAAACTCGTTTTAATTGAATCAAACCTCTGGGAGTGAATTTTAACGACAGGGTATCCTTTTTGCCCCCCCCCCCCCAAAGTTTTCCCGCAATCACCACGAGAGCCTCGGTGTTTTGGAGGATCGTTAGCGAATGTGTCTATCAATCGCGGCTTATTTGAAGAACAGCGTTAACACCAAAAGGAATCTCTCACCGCCAAAGCTTTTCCCCAAATTAGTTTTGCATGTGTGCAGCTTCTACGTATGTACATCTCCTCTCTCGACTACCTACACTCTCAAAAACTTTTGACTCCGGGTTGGACCTTGCTGGTATGTGTTTCGGAGCAAAAGAACATTTTCGACAGGAAATGTTGTCTCACTTATCATTGAAGCGTTAACCCTTAGATTCCCAACCGTTTTTACCTACACGGATCACCAACCGGGGCCTGCGAGGCCCGTATTGAGAATGTATGGTTATTTGATAGCTGCGATGCTTTTTTCTATGTTTTTGAAGAATTTTATGATTTTCATACTTCGTCTTCTATTACCAAGGCCCAAAATTGTCCCTCCACCCATAGCCCACCCCAGTCATTCTAGGGGTAGACATGAAAAAAAAATTGCTGTGCCTAAAAAAACTTTTTTTGAATTTTGTTTCTGGAAATATGTTCTTAAGGGTTTTTGTAGAGCTTTTTGTGAAGGACAGACTTCTCGGATAATTACAGCTGCCGTGGCGCGAAAAATAAGAAGCCGCCAGGCCTCGCAAACTCGGTTGGGAATCTAAGGGTTAAAGAATGCACAATTATGTGTAAAATATCGACGGTGAAAATCCCAAACCACGTATCTCCTTTGCGGTGTTTAAAAATTTCGGCTCCCATTTTATTTTTTTGAAGGAAACCAAATAAACATAATTCCTGGAGGTTTTTTCAGGATTCACTTCGCACAGAGAAGAAAAATCATGGGTGGTTTTAAGCATGGGAGGTTCTAAGAATTAACGCTGAGTAGTTTTCCATTTAAAAAATAAAGTATGACAGAAAGTCTGCAACATCGCGAACCGAAATACAAGGTTTTGTAATTTCACCATCAATATGTTTTTTTCTGCGAAACTGATGTACAATGGTATCATGGAGCCTTTTCAGTGACCCACTTTAAACGGAACAAAAATCGTGTATTATCCCGCTGAAAACTTGGAGTAAATCTCTAATGAGAATATTTTGACGGGGATATTCACAAAAATTCACTGAAAAGTCATGCAGTACAGAGTCTTGCAGGAATGAGCACTTGGATGCATGTTTACGCAATAAAAAAGGGGAAAGAATCTGCATAATAAAAGTCTTATCTAACCCACTTCCTCCGGGTAAACGCATTTATTTTCAGATTTAAAAAAAGACAAACATTCTTCTCTCCTTTTAACTATGAAATTGACTTTGCTTGCTATGACCCTGGTTTCATTTAGTCGTTAGTGACTCAACATATCCCCCTTATTATTGTGTTTTTTTTAAAAAAAAATTCTTTCCACGATATACTTTTTAATAATATTGATTCAGTTATGCTAAGAATGTATGATTGATTATTTCCATTTTTGTTTTGCAGGATTTGAAGATTCCGCGGGAGATTCAATCGGAGAGAAGCTAATTATATGACGTAAGTACTGCTTTATTATTAGTTTCCATGGCTCCAATTTTAACGCAATGTAAGTGTCTTAACTGTTTGAATCGGAATTTGCATTCCCCAAACACTGAAAAAAAACTCTCGGCGTTTTTACCACGGTCCGTTGGTACCTTTACCATCTCACTTTTTTTACCAATTATTGGTAATTTTACCAAGATAGACTGGTAAGCTTACCTAAAACCGGTATTTTTACTGTTTTCCAGGTGAGAATACCACTTTTATTGGTAATCGATTCCCGGTAACTTTGCCATTTTATCTCGGTAATTCTACCACAGTCGATAAAAAATATTGACGTTTTTACCGAGGTCCAATAAAATTACCGAGAAAGTTCAATAATTTTACCGAGATTTCTCGGTAAAATTACCAATTCCATAAATCGTAATTTTACCGAGAAAAATGGGGTCAAATAGAAACCTGAATTCTTGGTAATTTTACCCTTTTCTTGGTAATACACCGAGATTTTTTTTTCAGTGAAGAATCACGAAACGATTCTAACGTAGTCGACATTAGGCCGGGGTAAAAATAATCAAGGAATGCGAGAGGACGGATTTCGAGGCAACAATTTTATCGCGGCGAGGCAGTGCCAGAGCGGAAAAGCCGCGAACATTAGCCCCCCGCGGCCCCCCTCAACCTCCTATCAGAGCGCGAGCTGCGGGGGGCACAGAGACACTTGTCTTCAATCTGATGAATTATTGTCGAGTACGTGATGATACTCAAATTGAATCCGAGCTCACATCCTGCAGCGTGGAGTGAGGAGGGAGGGGGGTGCTTGATTGGATAGGTAAAGTTGCCGCTCACTCATTATGAGACGCCTATTAAAACGTGTTCATTTTGCCGCGATTAAAATAATAGGCTGAGCCGCAGGGATCCCCGCTAAGCAGCGTGCTCGTAATGTCAAAGCATACGTGCCTTTTCACCTGCTGTATAGTCCCCAGTTCTTGCTTACAGTGGGATTTGGCTAATTCGGGTAACTTGACATTTTTCATCGAGCCTGTCCCGTAAAGCGTTTCTTGAGTAAAATTTACTGACGGTTTTGTTTTTGCTTCTTGTGGGTTTCTTGTCGTAAGATTATACACGATTGAAGAATTACTCGCGTCGATGAACTAAAATCAAAGCAAATTGGCATCGCAGTCCAAAGAAAAGTTCACTCAGGATTTCCTCAATGAGTCTTCTACACGCAAGAGTAGACCAATAGTCCAGTCCGGAGTCCAGCGGGCCGATTATTGAAATTGATAGACAAAGCTATAGACAAAGAAGACAAAAGAGATATGGAGGGATCCTATCGGTGGAAGCGGATGGTTGCAAAGGACAAAGGAGGTAGGTAATAGACTAGGTAACCAGCAAACCGCGAGGGACCCGATAGTTAGTCCATCATTTTCTCCCTTAGTCTATAAGAACCACACATTTCAACCAACACGATTGCTCCATACTCCCCATGTCTTCCTCGTCTCTCGCTTTGTCTATCAATTTCAATAATCGGCCCGCAGTAGTGTGGATAGACTTGTTATGGGTTAAATGGCACAAACATCATAGTGGTTACATCAATCAAGTCTGAAATCCACTCCTTAAAGCGCAATTTTCGTAGTTTGAAGCACGCTTTTTCAAATTTTCCGCGCCTAGAGGCAGTTTTACAGTCACCGGAAACCATAGGTTTGTCGATCGATTCACGAATTTGTCGATCGATTTACGAATCTGTCGATTGATTCACGGTTGTCGATTGAGCCGCGTCGATCGGATCACATTTTTGTTTTTCGATCGATTCATGTCGATAGAATCGACACGGTTTTCTTTTAATTAACTGTCGATCGCTTCACATTTTTGTTATTCGATCGATTCATTTCGATCGAATCGATAACGGTTATTTAAAACATTTATCGATCGATTCGATGTCGATCGAATCACGCCTATTGACTCAAAGTCAACATATCAGAACTCAACGCTCCGTGAGTCGCGGTCGGGCCAATATAAAACGCCTTCAATTGCGCATGATACTGTGCAACACACCGAAGTTCAAATAGTTGTATTCTTAGGTTGGAACCTAACCCAACACAGTTGCTCTACCAAATAAAGCCTGTCCACCTGTTAACTGATGTATTTCAAGTTACCTCGCATATTTAATACCCATTATTGCTGTGACAAAAATTTATATCTGAATAATTGATTTATTAAGGAAGAATTATCATCATTAATGCACGTGGCCAACGAATGAGTCTCATTTGAGGGAAACCTGCTCACACTCCTGTTCAAAATTGAACCTCTCAGAGTTTCATTGAGGAAAGTTTGATACATAATTTAAAATTCAGGTATAAAGCAAAAGATAATGATGATTTTGACAACAGCAAGTTCTCTTGGACTCGCAATTTTGACTTTAAAGAATGAAGAAAAATGATTTAATCGTTAGATACTATAAGCAATTGCGGGACACTTTTAAAATAAAGATGAGTTAAATTACTCTCGATAACATTAAAATGCAATGATTTTTCATTCACGAATCGAATTTTTCAATTGCATATTCCATTATTTAATTGTTTTTTCCGTAATAAAAATACAAATACAACACGAGTAGTATGTTGTGTTCATTCATCATAGAGTTCAACTTGGACATCAAACATGAATGTTAATTCTAGTACCTATACTGGATGGTGCAATTACAGGAGTTGATGTATGACTGTAATAATTAATTGTTATCATTTTTTGTTCCACAAGAGGCAGACTTGTGGTTACATATTAGTCTGTTTCAAAAATAAACCAACGCCCATCATGAACCTTCGAGACACCTTTGCTCCTTTCTGCTCTTCAATGTTCATCAGAAAACTATCCAGATGTATGTGAAACAGGTAGAAACTACATGTTAAAGGTTAAGTGATTGAATAAGTGAGGAATGTAAGAGGAAGAGCTCTTAACCGTTCTTTTCAATGAAGCTCAATGCCCGTCCGCAAGCTACGTGATGAATGGACAAAAATATTGAGGATGCCAAATGAGGTGGAAACAATAATAGTGCGCCACTTTTTATGCGTCGAACCACAGGTTGTGAAGCGACTTGGAATCCCTTCAAAAACCTTTTGTCCCGGAAAATACATCCGTCTTGGCTTTAATCGCTAAGCTGCATTTAATAGCACTCCTTAAGATTTGAATCTAGATGGAGGCAAAAACTGCAATCGTTCGGAGAAGTTATTAGCTAGACTTTTAGTACAGATATCTGGAGGGTTAATTTCATATAGAAAAAAGTGTAACGTCCTTCGTGATATTTTAAAAAAAGAAAAGATATAATTGCATTTTGCATACTTGTTCATCCTCCTAAATATCACAGGTAGAACTTGCGTTTGTCATTGATCTTCTGGATCTGTAAAATTGATAACATTAATTAATTAGCATAGTTTGTTGATATGTCGGTATTGAACTAGGTGGTTAATGGTGCTGGGTCCACACCATTTCGCGGGGAAATCATTTAATATTGTGTTTGACTCTAATTATAATTTTTGGAAATTTTGGTTTTGATTTCCCCGCGAAATGGTGTGGACCCAGCACCATTTCTTCACCTCGTTACATACAGTATTCGGGCCACTTCTTAGTGTATTTTTTCCTACTTGTCGGTATTGATTAATATTATATATATCAGTAACATTCAAGACTAAACTCTGTAATTTCAACCGGCACAAGCTGACATTTTCAATTCAACTTTGATAACTGTCTACTGATTCTTTATACTTGGAGGAAGATTTGAAGGGTTCAACATTGTCCATATCCTCCAATAAAATTTTGTTTTCTGACCGAAAAGACATTCAACCGGCGAAGCGCGCCAAAATCTTTGGAAAGAAAACAAAAAATTCAACTTCATAGATGTCATAATGCATGTGGTGCGGGAGGATGCAAGAAGAGAATGTGCTTCTGACGTTAGTCATTTTGCAATATATCCGGCTGTTCCGTATCAGATTGATGACTTCCTCGTGAAGAGCGAACTGATAGTTTATTCTTAGGAGTTGAGCAACTTCACGGACAGTCAGGAAAAGGAGGAGCTGAGAAGGAAACAAAACGTACTTTACAATACGCGCTCAACTTCCGAGCGGAATGCGAAACTTCCCGGGCCATAAGCTGAAATTTGGCTCCAAAGTTATCTCCATTCGTGATTTGAGAAATGCCGGATTTTTGGTGGTGAGGCGATTAGACTGCGCCGAGGGGACTGGTATGACGAAGAGAGGGGAGAAGGGGTTAAAGAATGGCGAGAGGGAGAAAACGCATACTCTCTATTGTTACCCGGATGCCACATTTGATTAATCCCGTGAAGTCTTGTCTCCTGTTCACCGATATAGTATCGCTGATTATGACAGCGGATGAAAGTAAAATAAGCTTCATTAAAAAATCCACATCGTAATTTTAATTCTCCATGTTTAACAATATTTTAGAGAGCTGGACTCAAAGGAATTCTCGATTTTTTCCGAAACATGATAGAATCGGTGAGGACAAAGACCCAGTTTATGTAAGGAAATGAGCAGACAACGGGTATTTCGTGCGTATGGGACGTATTGCAGACATCATGTAAAAATACAGATACTCTACTACGTCAAAGGAGCGGTGATATAATTTATTAAAGTTTTTTTCAACGAGATATACAGCTTTGGATACCATCTCAGTTTACTTGCATTTCGTACAAATGTCTATAAACGCGCTTTTTTTTGTTCAGTTTCCATTATCTTATCAAAAAACCTCTAATACAAGCACATACTTTTCGACGTAGTTTTGGATTAATTTAAGGTAAAAAACCGACACAAGTACAGGGATAAAATTGGGGCTTGGGCAGTTTTGAATGGATTGTCGCTTTTTCGTAAAAGCACCTTTTTAAGTATTCTAATCACAAAACTTCATTTAATGGCTTAAATAGAAAAATAGATTTGCGTTAATAATTATTGGTAGTCCGACTTCCTTCACTTTTACGTAAAATAAAGATGTATGATAAGTTTATACGTTTATAGACA